GAGAGGAAGGGGTTGTGGGGGAAGGGGGGGTGGTTTTGGGGGGAGGGTAGGTGAGGGGTAGAGAAGGTTATGTAGCAGGAGGTAACACCGGCCAGAAAAGTGGTTGTCGGAGTTCAACCCCAGCAAGTGGAATATTAAATGTGTAAAGTCCAGAAACATTGTGTGTGTGTGTGTGTGTGTGTGTGTGTGTGTGTGTGTGTGTGTGTGTGTGGTGTGTGCTCACCCATTTTTAGCTCCAGGGGTCGATTCACAGTTGTGGTCCCGCCTCTTCACTGGTCCACTCTGCTGCGTGAGGTCTGTCATACTTAGACCAAAACATCGTCTTAAAGTTTGTTTCTCCTTTGTGAACTTTATTTCTGTATGGAACTGTCCTTGTTATTCCTATCTACTCCTCTAGCTGTACCCTAGTCTCTTGTCAGCTATGTACAAGACGCACTTCTTATAGTATTGATATATACAGTCCACCCATCACTCTCGTGTGTCTCACAAAATCGTAATGACACGATTGTAAACAAATCATACCAGGGGCGGGGCTTGAACCCGTGATCAGTCATAAAACTCCAGACCGACGCGCTAGCCACTGGGTCAGCTGGCTACAACAAGATTTGTCCAACTATGTATATTTATACACGATAGGAAGGTCAGCATCGGCACCGCTGTGACCATAAAAGTAAGTTTGTAGCCAGCTGGCCCAGGGGCTTACGCGTCGGTCTGGAATTTTATGACTCTCTGATCGCGGGTTCTATCCCTGCCCGTGGTACGGTTTCTCTCATGTGTTATTTGTGTTTTTAAGAATCCATTGATATCGAGGTTTGATGCATGTCTTCTCTGGAAACTTTCCATAACCTTAATTTATGTCAGTCCACTGGTCTGTAGTTTAAATGCTCCTGTTTGCCCCTTTTTTTTTAATATCGGGACTATTTAAAATTGTTCTGCAGAGATCAGGCAGCTCCCTATTTAAAGTGATTGTTGATATCCTGCCAGTGTTTATCGTTCTTAGCCTGTCAGTACCATGAGAGATGTTGGTCACACTGCCTTTTTGGTTAAGTTCACCCATAGTTTCACACTGTTGTATGCAGGTTTCTGTACTTGGGGTGCCTCCCCCTCTTGGATACTGGTTTTTCCTTTTCACGGAAAACCCCCGTTTGTTTCTCACAGACATTTTCATTCCTTGGAGTCCCCCCCCTTCTCCACCTTATCCTTAAACTTATGCTGTTTCTTTCTAAGTGGCTGTTTTAAAACCCGGGCTCAGTTTGGGCTTTCGAAAACATGTCATTTCGTTGTATTATCCTGTTTTCCTACCCAGAGTTTTCTGGTCACCTGCTCGCTTACTTGTTCTCAGCGTTCTTTGTTTTCAATTTCCCCCAAGCTTTTGTACCATTAACTTTACCCGGCTGCATTTTGGGTACCACCCTCACCTTGATGTTTTTTCTCCTGCTTGCCCGCTCTTTACGCCGATTTACTTTATCATGGTTGTGTTGTGTGTGTGTGGTGTGTTGTGGTGTTTTGTGTGTGTGTGTTGTGTGTTGTGTGTGTCCCCGTTTTTCTCAGCACCCGCATACACCCCAGGGTCACACACACACGCGGCGTAACATGGTATATGTGAGAATCTTTGCATCAGATCCCTATAATGATTACCAAAAGCAATATACCCCCGGGGCAATACCCCCAGAGAAAAGTACCTCCGGTGACTGACCCCCCGGAACTGTACCTCCCCCCCGGGTGCTGCACTCCTCCAGGGGCACTGCACCCCCCCCCAGGGGGTTGGGCACCTCCTCCCAAGGGGCTGCACCCCTCCCGGGGGGGCATGCACCTCCCCCAGGGGACACGGAACTGCACATCCCCCAGGGGACACTACACTCCCCCATGGGGTACTGCACCTCCCCCCGGAGGTACTGCACCTCCCCAGGGGGTACTGCACCTCCCCCAGGGGACACTACACTCCCCCGGGACACTGCACCCCCCCAGGGGACACGGCGCTCCCCCAGGGGACACTGCACTCCCCCAAAAGGTACTGCACCTCCCCCATGGGGCACTGCACCTCCCCCAGGGGGTACTGCACCTCCCCAGGGGGTACTGCAACTCCCCCAGGGGACACTACACTCCCCCGGGACACTGCACCTCCCCCCAGGGGACACGGCCCTCCCCCAGGGGGCACTGCACTCCCCCAAGGGGCACTGCACCTCCCCCAGGGGGTACTGCACCTCCCCTTTTCTATCTTCATTAACCTTTAACTGCCTTCATTCGTCTCTAAAAATAAATTTAATAATTTTTAAGAGTCTCAGTGGACTTTATTAGTCAATATCAATGATTATTCGTCTCTAAAAACCTTCCACTAGACTTTATTACTATAGATAAACCTTCATTAGCCTCTTAAAAAAGGATTTTATTAGTTTTTACTAGATTTTACACGATTTTATTAGTTTTTACTAGATTTTACACGATTTTATTAGTTTTTACTAGATTTTACACGATTTTATTAGTTTTTACTAGATTTTACACGATTTTATTAGTTTTTACTAGATTTTACACGATTTTATTAGTTTTTACTAAATTTTACACGATTTTATTAGTTTTTACTAGATTTTACACGATTTTATTAGTTTTTACTAGATTTTAAACTTTATTAATTTTTACTAGATTTTACACGACTTTATTAGTCGACATTAACCTTTAACTGTCTTCATTTCCCTCTAAATAAAATAATTTTTTATTTTTATTTTCACAAATCTTGATGTCCTTTATTACTGTATATTAATCAACTGGCTTTATTTTTCTCAATAAAGATTCTTATCAACTTTCTCTAGCTTAAATTGTGCTATTTCTAAATATTCTTTATTATCTTTATCAGTTTATCAATTAACTTTATTGACGTTTATTATTAAATGTATTATTGCAGTCTTTATTGATTTATTAAGACTTTATGTGAGGGTGTGAGTGGAGCCTCAGCAGGGGTTGTGGGGACCCGTTAGGTGTGAGTGGAGCCTCAGCAGGGGTTGTGGGGACCCGTTAGGTGTGAGTGGAGCCTCAGCAGGGGTTGTGGGGACCCGTTAGGTGTGAGTGGAGCCTCAGCAGGGGTTGTGTGTACCCGTTAGGTGTGAGTGGAGCCTCAGCAGGGGTTGTGGGGACCCGTTAGGTGTGAGTGGAGCCTCAGCAGGGGTTGTGGGGACCCGTTAGGTGTGAGTGGAGCCTCAGCAGGGGTTGTGGGAACCCGTTAGGTGTGAGTGGAGCCTCAGCAGGGGTTGTGGGGACCCGTTAGGTGTGAGTGGAGCCTCAGCAGGGGTTGTGTGTACCCGTTAGGTGTGAGTGGAGCCTCAGCAGGGGTTGTGGGGACCCGTTAGGTGTGAGTGGAACCTCAGCAGGGGTTGTGGGGACCCGTTAGGTGTGAGTGGAGCCTCAGCAGGGGTTGTGTGGACCCGTTAGGTGTGAGTGGAGCCTCAGCAGGGGTTGTGTGGACCACTTAGGTGTGAGTGGTGCCTCAGCAGGGGTTGTGTGGACCCCTTAGGTGTGAGTGGAGCCTCAGCAGGGGTTGTGTGGACCCCTTAGGTGTGAGTGGTGCCTTGGCAGGGGTTGTGTGGACCCCTTAGGTGTGAGTGGAGCCTCAGCAGGGGTTGTGTGGACCCTTTAGGTGTGAGTGGTGCCTCAGCAGGGGTTGTGTGGACCCCTTAGGTGTGAGTGGTGCCTCAGCAGGGGTTGTTTTGGACCCCTTAGGTGTGAGTAGAGCCTCAGCAGGGGTTGTGTGGACCCCTTAGGTGTGAGTGGTGCCTCAGCAGGGGTTGTGTGGACCCCTTAGGTGTGAGTGGTGCCTCAGCAGGGGTTGTGTGGACCCCTTAGGTGTGAGTGGAGCCTCAGCAGGGGTTGTGTGGACCCCTTAGGTGTGAGTGATGCCTCAGCAGGGGTTGTGTGGACCCCTGAGGTGTGAGTGGAGCCTTAGCAGGGGTTGTGTGGACCCCTTAGGTGTGAGTGGAGCCTCAGCAGGGGTTGTGTGGACCCCTTAGGTGTGAATGGTGTCTCAGCAGGGGTTGTGTGGACCCCTTAGGTGTGAGTGGTGTCTCAGCAGGGTTTGTGTGGACCCCTTAGGTGTGAGAGGAGCCTCAGCAGGGGTTGTGTGGACCCCTTAGGTTTGAGTGGAGCCTCAGCAGGGGTTGTATGGCCCCCTTAGGTGTGAGTGGTGCCTCAGCAGGGATCGAGTGGACCTCTGAGTGAGTGGAGCCTCAGCAGGGGTTGTGTAGACCCCTTTGGTGTGAGTGGAGCCTCAGCAGGGGTTGTGTGGACCCCTTAGGTGTGAGTGGTGCCTCAGCAGGGGTTGTGTGGACCCCTTAGGTGTGAGTGGAGCCTCAGCAGGGGTTGTGTGGACCCCTTAGGTGTGAGTGGTGCCTCAGCAGGGGTTGTGTGGACCCCTTAGGTGTGAGTGGTGCCTCAGCAGGGGTCGAGTGGACCCCTGAGTGAGTGGAGCCTGAGCAGGGGTTGTGTGGACCCCTTAGGTGTGAGTGGAGCCTCAGCAGGGGTTGTGTATAGTCCTTGGGTGTGAGTGGTGCCTCAGCAGGGGTTGTGTGGACCCCTTAGGTGTGAGTGGAGCCTGAGCAGGGGTTGTGTGGACCCCTTAGGTGTGAGTGGAGCCTCAGCAGGGGTTGTGTGGACCCCTTAGGTGTGAGTGGAGCCTAAACAGGGGTTGTGTGGACCCCTTAGGTGTGAGTGGAGCCTCAGCAGGGGTTGTGTGGACCCCTTAGGTGTGAGTGGAGCCTGAGCAGGGGTTGTGTGGACCCCTTAGGTGTGAGTGGAGCCTCAGCAGGGGTTGTGTGGACCCCTTAGGTGTAAGTGGTGCTTCAGCAGGGGTCGAGTGGACCCCTGAGGAGTGAGTGGAGCCTGAGCAGGGGTCGTGTGGACCCCTTTGGTGTGAGTGGAACCTCGGCAGGGGTCGTGTGGACCCCTTAAGAGTGTAACCCCGCAGACTAGGCTTCAGGTAGCCCATGATTCAGTGTCACTACTCGCCATTACAGTACCGAGAGCTCAGATCGTGCACTCGCCAGAGCTCCACACAGCAGAGGGAGAAGCACTCAACCTTACCTGTGTTGTGAGTCCAAGTCCTGCACCTCCAGAGTACATCTTCTGGTACCACAGAGGAGAGGTAAGACCACATCTATCTACCTATCTATATATACCTATAACAGTAGAAGTGGTAGCAACAGCAGCAGCAGAGACACTGGTGGCCGTTATTTAAAACAAAGGCTGGCTGGTAATACTATGCAAATGTTGGCTGTGTGAAGAAAGTTCTCAACACTGTAGACCAGAGTAACGTAAATGTTACCTTGCTGTCTGTACCACACAGACAGCAACGTAATCTTGCTTTGCTGTCTGTACCACACAGACAGCAACGTAATGTTACCTTGCTGTCTGTACCACACAGACAGCAACGTAATGTTACCTTGCTGTCTGTACCACACAGACAGCAACGTAATGTTACCTTGCTGTCTGTACCACACAGACAGCAACGTAATGTTACCTTTCTGTCTGTACCACACAGACAGCAACGTAATGTTACCTTGCTGTCTGTACCACACAGACAGCAACGTAATGTTACTTGCTGTCTGTCCCACACAGACAGCAACGTAATGTTACTTTGCTGTCTGTACCACACAGACAGCAACGTAATCTTGCTTTGCTGTCTGTACCACACAGACAGCAACGTAATGTTACCTTGCTGTCTGTACCACACAGACAGCGACGTAATGTTACTTTGCTGTCTGTACCACACAGACAGCAACGTAATGTTACCTTGCTGTCTGTACCACACAGACAGCAACATAATGTTACCTTGCTGTCTGTACCACACAGACAGCAACGTAATGTTACTTTGCTGCCTGTACCACACAGACAGCAACGTAATGTTACCTTGCTGTCTGTACCACACAGACAGCAACGTAATGTTACCTTGCTGTCTGTACCACACAGCGATGTAATGTTACTTTGCTGTCTGTACCACACAGCGATGTAATGTTACTTTGCTGTCTGTACCACACAGCGATGTAATGTTACTTTGCTGTCTGTACCACACAGACAGCAACGTAATGTTACTTTGCTGTCTGTACCACACAGACAGCAACGTAATGTTACCTTGCTGTCTGTACCACACAGACAGCGATGTAATGTTACTTTGCTGTCTGTACCACACAGACAGCAACGTAATGTTACTTTGCTATCTGTACCACACAGACAGCAACGTAATGTTACTTTGCTGTCTGTACCACACAGACAGCAACGTAATGTTACCTTGCTGTCTGTACCACACAGACAGCAACGTAATGTTACTTTGCTGTCTGTACCACACAGACAGCAACGTAATGTTACCTTGCTGTCTGTACCACACAGACAGCAACGTAATGTTATTTTGCTGTCTGTACCACACAGACAGCAACGTAATGTTACTTTGCTGTCTGTACCACACAGACAGCAACGTAATGTTACCTTGCTGTCTGTACCACACAGACAGGAAGGTAATATTACTTTACTGTCTGTACTACACAGACACGCAGAATGACGGAGATACATAGAATGACGGAGACAGAGAGAAGAGAGATAGAGAATGTCGGAGACACAGGTGGAGAGAGAGAAAATAAAAGAGAAAGAGAAGGGAGGAAGAATGAACAGACACACAAAAAAGAGAGAATGAGGGAGATAATAAGGGAGAGGGAGTGAGAAAATGTGAGATAAAGAGATTGATGAATGAGAAAGATAGACAAAATGGGGGAGAGAGAGAGAGAGAGAGAGAGAGAATGTTTGGTTAAACATTTACTATGGAGTGTAATATAACATTCACACTATTGTTCCTACTGTTACCACTATCACTAACAACAATAACCACCACTAACAACCATACCACTAACAACCACCACCACAACTAACAATCAGAACCATACCCCCGGCCGGGATTGAACCCGCGGTCATAGAGTCATTACGATTTCTTAAATCAGAACCACTAACAACCACCACCACTAACAACCACCACCACTAACAATCACCACCACTAACAACCACCACCACTAACAATCACCACCACTAACAACCACCACCAACACTAACAAGGTGTCTTACGAGAATGATGACAGCATGAAGGTGACTGATGAACAAGGTAATGGTCGTACAGTTACCACTAACAGTCACCACCACTACCACTAACAACCACCACCACTACTAACAACCACCAATAACAAGGTATCTTACAGGTCATTAACTACGAGAATGATGACAGCATGAAGGTGACTGTTGAACAAGGTAATGGTCGCACAGTTACCACTAACAGTCACCACCACTACCACTAACTACCACTAACAAGGTATCTTACAGGTCATTAACTACGAGAATGATGACAGCATGAAGGTGACAGTTGAACAAGGTAATGGTCGCACAGTTACCACTCTACTGGTAAGTAAAGCGGCGCTACATCACTCTGGACGCTACCAGTGTGCACCTTCCAACACTCTCACAGCTTCAATCCTTGTTCATGTCTTTAAAGGTGAGACAACACTCTTACTTCAACCATTACTCGCCTTTATTGATCCTTTCATGTAATTTCAACATTTATTATCACTTTACTGTAATTACAGCATTTATTGCTCCGATATATATATGTATAATATATATATATATATATATATATATATATATATATATGTGTGTGTGTGTGTGTGTGTGTGTGTGTGTGTGTGTGTGTGTGTGTGTGTGTGTGTGTGTGTGTGTATATATATAAAACCAAAATTTATAATAATGATATTAATAATAATAATAAGCTTAATAATACTAAGCAACTTAATAATAATTATTTTTGTCAACCAGCCAAGGAACCAGCAGCAATGCAGACCAGCAGTAGTACGCTAGTCCAGCAAGGACCCTCCCCCTGCCTCCTGCTGTCTGCTGCTGTTCTCCTCCGTCACCTGCTGCTGCACCTAGGCCGCCGTCGATTCACCTAGGTGCTACTAGGTTGCCTAGAAACCTGTGTGGGCACCTATATACGCCTATGTGTAGATGTGCGTGGTATTAGTTTATTTGGGGACGGTTCTATAGTAGCTCGGTAAGATTTACAGCAGCTAGGGACAACTGTACAGCAGTTTGTGAGCTCTACAGCAACTGGGGACGACTGTACAGCGGCTAGGTGCAATTTACAGCAGCTGGGGACGATTGTACTGCAGCTAGGTATGATTTACAGCAGCTGAGGACGATTGTACTGCAGCTAGGTATGATTTACAGCAGCTGGGGACGATTGTACTGTAGCTAGGTATGATTTACAGCAACTGGGGACGACTGTACAGCGGCTAGGTGCGATTTACAGCAGCTGGGGACGATTGTACTGCAGCTAGGTATGATTTACAGCAGCTGGGGACGATTGTACTGCAGCTAGGTATGATTTACAGCAGCTGGGGACGACTGTACAGCAGCTGGTGAATTGTACAACAGCTAAGAACGATTGTATAGCAGCAGGTGAGCTGTACAACAGCTGTGGACGATTATACAGCAGCTGAGCTTTAACAACAGCTGGGGGCGATTATACAGCAGCTGAGCTTTAACAACAGCTGGGGGCGATTATACAGCAGCTGGCCACAGTTGTGTAGCAGCTGGTGAGCTGTACATCGGTCAGAGACGATTATACAGCAGCTGATGACGATTGCACAGCCATTGAGGCGACTGTACAAGAGCTGATAACGTGCACAACAGCTGGGGACGATTATACAGCAGTTGTCGAATTGGTACAGCAGCTGGGGACGATTATACAGCAGCTGGCGAATTGGTACAGCAGCTGGGGACGATTATACAGCAGCTGGCGAATTGGTACAGCAGCTGGGGACGAACATACAGTAGCTGAAGTAGTACAACAGCTGGGGACGACTATACAGGAGCTGGTGAATTGGCACAGCAGCTGGGGACGATTATACAGGAGCTGGTGAATTGGCACAGCAGCTGGGGACGATTATACAGGAGCTGGTGAATTGGCACAGCAGCTGGGGACGATTATACAGCAGCTGGTGAATTGGCACAGCAGCTGGGGACGATTATACAGGAGCTGGTGAATTGGCACAGCAGCTGGGGACGATTATACAGGAGCTGGTGAATTGGCACAGCAGCTGGGGACGATTATACAGGAGCTGGTGAATTGGCACAGCAGCTGGGGACGATTATACAGGAGCTGGTGAATTGGCACAGCAGCTGGGGACGATTATACAGCAGCTGGTGAATTGGCACAGCAGCTGGGGACGATTATACAGGAGCTGGTGAATTGGCACAGCAGCTGGGGACGATTATACAGGAGCTGGCGAACTGGCACAGCAGCTGGGGACGATTATACAGGAGCTGGTGAATTGGCACAGCAGCTGGGGACGATTATACAGGAGCTGGCGAATTGGTACAGCAGCTGGGGACGAACATACAGTAGCTGAAGTAGTACAACAGCTGGGGACGATTATACAGGAGCTGGTGAATTGGCACAGCAGCTGGGGACGATTATACAGGAGCTGGTGAATTGGCACAGCAGCTGGGGACGATTATACAGCAGCTGGTGAATTGGCACAGCAGCTGGGGACGATTATACAGGAGCTGGTGAATTGGCACAGCAGCTGGGGACGATTATACAGGAGCTGGTGAATTGGCACAGCAGCTGGGGACGATTATACAGCAGCTGGTGAATTGGCACAGCAGCTGGGGACGATTATACAGCAGCTGGTGAATTGGCACAGCAGCTGGGGACGATTATACAGCAGCTGGTGAATTGGCACAGCAGCTGGGGACGATTATACAGCAGCTGGTGAATTGGCACAGCAGATGGTGATGATTACACAGAAGATGTTTATATCTTACAACAGGTAAATACTAATAAACTATTCTCTGGTGTTATATTTACAGCATAAAGTCTCAACAACAGTACCTGTTGATGCCTCCCATTGTTACCCACAACATAAAATAACTATACCCTGTGTTCCCCCCAAAAACATGTCCCATGTCCAAAAACCGTATATCCCATGTCCAAAAACCGTGTGTCCCATGTCCAAAAACCGTGTGTCCCATGCCCAAAAACGTATGTACCATGCCCAAGAACCTATACCCCATGCCCACGTACCCATGTTCTATGCCCACGAACATATGTGCCGTGGGCACACACGTTATGTATTCTCTGCTTTGTATGAAAGATGAGAAATGGGCAGTAAACCCACACGTAGTGTATGAATGAGAGATAGACCGTAAGACCTGAGTCAGAATGACAACTTTATCAAGCTGATTGAACTGTCCCTGGGCTAAAAGTTGCTTTTAAGCAAGTTTTACTGTCTCCTGTGTGTTTGATCTGTACAGTGCAATACTGATTTTACCGTCAGAGGAAAGAACTATCCCAGTGTATAGAGTGAAGATTTTCCAGGCTGGTGTGTGTGTGTGTGTGTGTGTGTGTGTGTGTGTGTGTGTGTGTGTGTGTGTGTGTGTGTGTGTGTGTGTGTGTGTGTGTGTGTGTGTGTGTGTGTGTGTGTGAGTATATATATATATATATTAATAATATATATATATATATTATTATATATATAATATATATATATATGTCGTGCCGAATATGTAAAACTGGTCAATTAGCAAGAACTCATTTAAAATTAAGTCCTTTCTAAAATTTTCTCTTATACGTTTAAAGATATATTTTTTTCATTAATGTTAATGTAAAAATTTATAATTTTGCATCAAAAGTATCTTAGAAAACTTACCTAACCTTATTATAACAAGAGCAATTTATTTTAGCCTAACCCAACTAAATATATTTTAGATTTTTTTACAATAATTTAATACTAAATAAACACAGTGAAATATATTTTTCCGTTAGGTTCAGAATGATTTCGGCGAAATTATTGCATACACAAATTTTCACTTGTCCTATATGGCAAGATGAGCGTTGCTATTTAAGCCAAGATCGCAAGTTCTGCCTATTCGGCACGACATACATACATATATATATATATATATATATATTATATATATATATATTATATATATATATATATATATATATATTATATATATATATATATATATATATATATATGGCAGAATTTGCAAACATATAAAAGTTAGGTTCCTCAAAGCTGTAAGGAGCTTTTATCCAGAAACTAAGGTTCACCGAAAGTAGATCTTAGACGCCAGGGATATGTGATGCCACTATGTTTAAGACAGTTAAAAGAAGCCAACATTAGGGTGTTGGGGAGGGTGTGGCAGTAAAAAACAATGACTTATACCAAGTGTGAGTTGCTACACTTGCTCTTTGCTGATGACACAGTTACTTTGGGAGATTCTGAAGAAAAGTTGCAAAGTGAATAAGAAGAGAAAGGTAGTGAGAGTATAACAAAAATTCACGTAACGAAAAATTGGATACCAGTTTGGAGGGAGTATAAAGGAAGTAAATGTGTTCAGATATCTGGGAGTGAAGATAACTGTGTTTAGATATTTGAGAGTGAACACAGGTCTGTGTTCAGATATTGGAGTGAACATAGATCTGTGTTCAGATATTTGGGAGTGAACATAAGTCTATATTCAAGATATGGACACACAGATCTGTGAAAGACTAGGTGAACGAGAGTAGACGAGGAAAAAAAGAGTGTATGGTATATTGAGATATTTATGGTAATAAAATGATCCATGGTGTGAGGCATGGTCTTTAAACATTGCAGCGAGGATGAAACTAGAGGCAGTGAAAATGTCATCTTTGACAGCAATGCAGAGAATTCGGTGTGAGGAGATTAAAAACAGTGTGCTGTTACCAAAGCTATAATTTAGAGGGATGAGTGCTGGGGTAAGGAGGTTATTGTAGTGGTTTGTGGAGACTAAAACACAGTGTGCTGTTACCAAAGCTATTTAGAGGGATGAGTGCTGGGGAAGGAGGTTATTATGGTGGTTTGTGGAGACTAAAACACAGTGTGCTGTTACCAAAGCTATAATTTAGAGGGATGAGTGCTGGGGAAGGAGGTTATTGTAGTGGTTTGTGGAGACTAAAACACAGTGTGCTGTTACCAAAGCTATAATTTAGAGGGATGAGTGCTGGGGAAGGAGGTTATTATGGTGGTTTCGGCAATTAAGGAATACAAGAAAAACAGTTTGACCAAGAGAATATATATTGAATAGAGGGAAGGAGTAGGTGTCGTTCAAGGAAGAGCTGGAGGGGAGAGGGTAAAAAAGTTTTGAGTGCTAGGGGGAATGAGCATCATGTAACCTTTATGTAAGCGTGGTAGATGGGAGTGGCTTGACGTGTTGGTGGAGTGTTCCTTGATACTGTCAGAAACCACAAAAGCCTTGAAAATTCACTATTTTCACACACACACACACACACACACACACACACACACACACACACACAATATATATATATATATATATATATATTATATTATATATATAATATATATATATATATATTGTATATATATATATATATATTATATATATATATATATATATATATATATATATATATATATATATTATATATATATATATAATATATATATTATATATATATATATTTTTTTTTTTTTTTTTATTATCACACTGGCCGATTCCCACCAAGGCAGGGTGGCCCGAAAAAGAAAAACTTTCACCATCATTCACTCCATCACTGTCTTGCCAGAAGGGTGCTTTACACTACAGTTTTTTAAACTGCAACATTAACACCCCTCCTTCAGAGTGCACTGTACTTCCCATCTCCAGGACTCAAGTCCGGCCTGTCGGTTTCCCTGAAACCCCTTCATAAATGTTACTTTGCTCACACTCCAACAGCACGTCAAGTATTAAAAACCATTTGTCTCCATTCACTCCTATCAAACACGTTCACGCATAGCCTGCTGGAAGTCCAAGCCCCTCGCACACAAAACCTCCTTTACCCCCTCTCTCCAACCTTTCCTAGGCCGACGCCTACCCCGCATTCCTTCCACTACAGACTGATACACTCTTGAAGTCATTCTGTTTCGCTCCCATTCTCTCCTACATGTCCGAACCACCTCAACAACCCTTCCTCAGCCCTCTGGACAACAGTTTTGGTAATCCCGCACCTCCTCCTAACTTCCAAACTACGAATTCTCTGCATTATATTCACACCACACATTGCCCTCAGACATGACATCTCACTGCCTCCAGCCTTCTCCTCGCTGCAACATTCATCACCCACGCTTCACACCCATATAAGAGCGTTGGTAAAACTATACTCTCATACATTCCCCTCTTTGCCTCCAAGGACAAAGTTCTTTGTCTCCACAGACTCCTAAGTGCACAACTCACTCTTTTTTCCTCATCAATTCTATGATTCACCTCATCTTTCATAGACCCATCCGCTGACACGTCCACTCCCAAATATCTGAATACGTTCACCTCCTCCATACTCTCTCCCTCCAATCTGATATCCAATCTTTCATCACCTAATCATTTTGTTATCCTCATAACCTTACTCTTCCTGTATTCACCTTTAATTTTCTTCTTTTGCACACCCTACCAAATTCATCCACCAATCTCTGCAGCTTCTCTTCAGAATCTCCCAAGAGCACAGTGTCATCAGCAAAGAGCAGCTGTGACAACTCCCACTTTGTGTGTGATTCTTTATCTTTTAACTCCACGCCTCTTGCCAAGACCCTCGCATTTACTTCTCTTACAACCCCATCTATAAATATATTAAACAACCACGGTGACATCACACATCCTTGTCTAAGGCCTACTTTTTACTGGGAAATAATTTCCCTCTTTCCTACATACTCTAACTTGAGCCTCACTATCCTCGTAAAAAACTCTTCACTGCTTTCAGTAACCTACCTCCTACACCATATACTTGCAACATCTGCCACATTGCCCCCCTATCCACCCTGTCATACGCCTTTTCCAAATCCATAAATGCCACAAAGACCTCTTTAGCCTTATCTAAATACTGTTCACTTATATATTTCACTGTAAACACCTGGTCACACACACCCCTACCTTTCCTAAAGCCTCCTTGTTCATCTGCTATCCTATTCTCCGACTTACTCTAAATTCTTTCAATAATAACTCTACCATACACTTTACCAGGTATACTCAGCAGACTTATCCCCCTATAATTTTTGCACTCTCTTTTATCCCCTTTGCCTTTATACAAAGGAACTATGCATGCTCTCTGCCAATCCCTAGGTACCTTACCTCTTCCATACATTTATT